TATTACCCAAAACTGGACACCCAGAACGCACACACACACACACACACACACACACACACACACACACACACACACCAGGGCTCCAGGAGATTCTGACATGCAGCCCAGGAGGATTATGGTTTTTAAAACACCACATGATTTATGATTCCCATATATCATAAACCACTTGGGAGCCACTAGGCTACACCAAGGATGCAGTGAGTAATTACATTTTTAACCAAAATGAAAAATGCTGTGAACATTTATACTTAAACAATCAATCAAGTCCTTCAAAACCTACTCTTTTCTTTAAAAAAAATGCTCCACTTATATGATGTACCCAGAGTAATCAAATTCACAAGAGATGGAAAATAGATAGGTGGTGGCCAGGGTGTCAGAGGGAAAAAGAGAATTGTTGTTTACTAGGTACACAGTTTCAGTTTTGCAAGATTGGTTGCACAGCCAGTTGGATGTACCTCACAATTTTGAGCTGAACACTTAAAAATGGTCAAGATGCTTTTATTTTTATGTGCACTTTAGCACAATTACATTTTTAAAGTACAATATATACCACACATAGGATATCCAAACGCTCTCATCAACAGTGCATATACTCTGCCAACATAGGGTTAAAAATACTCTCCTACTTATAACATCTGACAGTTTCCACAATTATAAAATGCCTAACCATAATAAGGAAACATAAAGCTTGTTTTTCTGGCAGAGTGAAGAACAAATGAATGATCAATTGCAGTGGGAATGAAATGAGGAAGAATGTCTCCACCTTTCTCTATGCTAACAAAACAATAAAGAATCAGAAGAACAGGGCAATGGACTGAAACCAGTAGTTGTATAAATACACTCTTCTCTGGAATCATGCTTCCTCAAAGGTGACAGATGTGTATGCAACTTGCATGTGGAGCAGTATTGCACCTGGCCCATCCATTTTACTGCAGTATCTGGGTACCCCATTTGCCCACAAGGATGAAGAACTGGGTTCATGTCTCTGGAAGGCAGGTGCATACTTAATAAAATAAGTAGATATTTGGAAGCATTAGGCCCAGATTCAAGGTTCCATAGACCCAGCCTCTTAAATGCTCAGAAGAGAGACTCCAGTCTGTGGAGCTTAGCATTCTTCATTCCAAGCTGCAGATTCTATCCCATTACCATGGCAGTAAAGCTGAATCAGCCTCTGTTCATTTAGTGACAGAGGTCACATGAGCCTTTGATGTTAGCCACTTATGACCTCATTCAGAGAGGCTGCTGAGCTGGGCTTTCTGCCTGGGGCCCTGTGGCCATCAAGTCTGCATAAGCTGGGAGTAAAATGACTAGTGAGCTGGGACTTCTACTGGAGTGTCACTGAAGTGCCTTGTGACTTCAAGGTGACTCGCTTCCTAGCTCTGGGAGCTTCAGGGGATCAATACATGAGACTCAGTGATTTCTCAGGTGCCTTCCAGTCCTGATCTGCTAAGGTCCCAGATGGCAACTTTGAGGTCCCAGCAACTAGGAGGGGCTGCCCTGGAATATCACTTTGTAAACAAGAAAACAGAACCGCTACACCTTCTCGGGCTTTCTCTATGCTGCCTGCCACCTGAGGCTCGGTGACAGAGTGGACAGAGTCAGCCATCACTGTCACCAGATGGTAGGTGCTGTCCTAAGGGTTTCTGATCCGCTCCACATTTATGTAGCACATCTGTGTGCCCTTCTTACTAGATGCAAGAGAGGAGATCCCTGGTATGTAACCGTGGCAAAAGGCCTGGACATAGTTTAAATGGTGGAGTAGCTACTCCAGAGGGACATGACAGCCACAACAGAGGACTTGGGCCCTGCCTTTGAGGTGTAACCAAGAGGAAAGACCTACTTACAAGACAAAGTGAAACCAGGCATCTGACAGGATGGACTGCAGATCCGAGGGTCTCAGCAGGAAGATGGCGATACCCTAGGGACAAAGGAAAAGAAAAATTTGTCCTCTGCATGCTGCTCACTGGAGGACCTCAGGGAGAGAGTTCACCCCAGGACTGAGACTCCATGAGAGGTGAGTGTGCAAAGGTCCAATCAAAACCCAGGAAGGGACATGGAAGAAGTCCTATGTCTAGATTACTGTAGGTGACCTCACAGTAAGGAGGGATGCTCCTTCAGATCTTCTTACCTCTCTAACTCCTGACCCCCATCCTAACCCCAGAACCTGCAAAGTTACAAATCACAACAGCTCCATTCTCCAAAAATGGCCTAGATTTCCAGCCTCTGAGCTTTTGGTCCTGCTATTTCCCACAACTACCCTGTATGATCCTGTCCCCATGTCCTTGTATGGCACCCTACCCTACCAGCCTGTCTTCAAGCTTCCCTCCCTCCCCCTGCCCCTAGATAAAAGTCCCTTCTTCTGCCCAACTTAGGGCACTTTTCCAAGTCTACCTTAAAATCTAGATGTCTGTTCCCATGATCTATCTCCTACCAAACTGTGAACCAAAGAGGGCAAACTCCATCCTTACCACCCAAGTCCTCACATGTAGAAGGTGCTCAGAATATACCTGTTGATTCATTGCTTGGATGAATGAGTGGATGGATGGATGGATTAGATAGATGCATGCATAGATAAACAGATGGAAGGATGATGGGGCTGGGGATATAGCTCAGTTGGTAGAGTGCTTACATCACATGCACAAGGCCCTGGGTTCAATCCCCAGCACCACAAAAAATAAAAGTTAAAAAACAAAACAGATGGAAGGATGCTTGGATAGAGGATTGAAGGATGGTGGGGGTAAGGTAGCATGGGAACATGGATGCATGAATGAGTGGCTGGGTGGCTGAGAGCAGGTGGGTAGGGGATGATGGGTGAGGACAAGGAGAGGTGGATGCTCACTGAGTGGCTAGAAAGAGGTAAAGGGTGGATAAACTGGACAGGTGTACAGAGGGAATGAAGTAGGTAGACCAGGTCTGCCTTATTCACTTATTCCCATGTTTTAACTTGGGATCTAAGGCTTGGAAAGGAAATTCCTCCCCACATGCCCATCAAGAATGGTAGAGCAGGGCAGGATGGCAGCAGGCCTGCCCTCACCCTGCCTGCCCCACAGAACAGTCTGGAAAGGCTCAGAAGCTCACTCACCTCTTTCACAGAGATGCATGTGGCCCAGATAAGCACAAACATCCTCCCCAACAGCTGCAGCCACCCCATCTTGTGCGTCAGGGCCAAGGGGTGTGGGAGGGCCTGTGGGGAAAAGTGAGGAGGGGGAGGAGAAAGTGAGGAGGGTGGGCAGCACCAGCTCCAGGGACCACGACACCCACACACTCCAGACCCTCAAGCTGGACCAGAGGCCAGCCTGGAACACCATCTCTGTAGAGAGCCTGAGAGCGAATGGAAGGCCCCTGCCCCTGCCTTCCCTACCCTTGGTGGGAACCAGAACTCCACAGTGAGCAGGATGAGCCAATCTGTGCGACTCCTCCACATGCCCCGTGGCATTCATCCCTCCCAGAACCCATCCATCACCAGACACTCAGCAGGGCCTCCTAACACAATCAATAAAGGCAGGCTGTGCTCTGGTGTTGGGTGGGAAACCAAGGCCTGGAGTAATGGGGAAGTTTGGCCAAGTGACCACACCCTCCTCCCACCTCCTGTGGCCCTCACAGCAGAAACACCCAAATGCATTCTAGATTCAGATTGGAAGCCTAGACAGGGCCTGGGGCTCCTAATTCCCCAACTGTTCCCCAATATGAGTTCCCCTGGGACTAAATACCTGGAGCTTAGCCTTCCTAAGTTCTAAAGACTCGTTCAGTTCCCTGAAAACTTTGAAGATGACCCCCACACAAATCTCTAAGCCTCTATGGACCTCAGTTTCCCCATCTTCCCAGGGACAGCTCCAGGCTCCTCCATGTCTCACCTCCCCATCCACCCCCAAAGACCCACGTACCTCCACCTCCCGAGGACGGTAGTAAGAGACAAGAGTCAGGGTGATGTTGTAGAAGAAATAAAAGCAGAAGGACAAGAAGAACATGTATTTGGCAAATTTCTTCCACTTCATGTGCAACAGCGTATGCAGGGGCTCCAGAGTCAGCATCTCATGCCGATTCTGTGGGGAAAACACCACCAGTCACCATGGAGATGAGGAGACAGGGAAGGACCACTTTCAAAGGGCCCATCATGAGCTCTGAGTCAGTGGGGCCCTTGGCTGAAGGGACCCGTCATTATGCCCAATGGACTGGTTTGGCTGGAAATGGTGGAAAGGTCATTTCTGGCACCTGGGCTCTTCCCAAAGCATACAGACAGCAGGGAAGGCTCCAGGAGAGTGTGGCTTCCAGCCAGAGCATCTGCTACACAGCAGGGAGGGAGAGCTAAAAAGAGATTCCAATCCCAATCTCCCTCTTCACTGTGTGTCCTTAGGACAGCCCCTGACTCTCTCTGTGCCTCAATCTCCTCAGCTATAAAATGATAACAATCCCTGCCCTACCAACCAGGCTGCTGCAAGGGTCCAGAGAAACCCTAGACAAGGCAGGCTCTGGGAAGCAAGACTTGGTAAAATACCAACAGCCTTCTGTCTCACTTCTCCCAAGAGCTAAAAACCTCTCAGAGCTGATCCTCTCTATTCACCTCCAATTTCACTAATCTCCTGCTCCAACCTCCTCCAGGAAGCCGTGCACCCCCAGATCCTCATGTGGAACCAGGTTTGGGAGGAGGGAGGATTCCAAGCCAGGCCACATGGACTATATTCACACCCCAAACTTCCCAGGATTCCGGAACCCAGAGACCCTTCACCATTAGGGTCCGCAATCTGAGGCTGACCAGGAACAGTGGAGCCCAGCGCCTCCCCAGCCCCCAACCCCTGCTTCCATGTCTAATTCTGCTGCTGAGAGAAAGCCCTGGGGACTCCAGGCACCATGGAGCTAACGGTCTGGGTCTTCCCGGTGGCAGACTGAGGTCCCGCCCCAGTTCCCTGCCCCTCCCAACTGCCCAAGAGACGCACATCGATGTTGGTGTTGTAGACGGTTATCTCCAGCACAGAATTGTCTGTTGTGGTGTCCACGTTGGTGAGGTCATACAGTGAGGACGACACAGGGCCATACGCCCAGTCAGTAAACTTCCTTGACAGGCTCCGGAGCGGCTTCTCCTTGATTTCACGACTGAGGATGTACTTCAGGATCTGGGGACAGGAAGGGGAACAACAGTCAGCCACAGATGGGGCTTGGGCCCAACAGGGCTGGGCCAGCCAGAGGCAGGGCAGGCCCCAAAAGATGCTTCCATCAAGATGGTTTGAGTCCTGCATCTGCACCATGACCTCTGGGCCCCTGCAGTATCAGTGGAATGGGTGCAAAGCTCCAGTTCTGCCCATCTCACTGGGGACCAAAGATGTGAAGGCCCTTCACAAGCTACACAAAACTGCACCATCAATTCCTCCTAATCCTTGCACCAACTGGGGCTCCAGTTCAGTGAAGAACCCAGGAATTGATTTTTTGTTTGTTTGGTTGCTTTTGTTTGTTTGGTTTTGGTACCAGGGATTGAATCCAGGGGCCCTTAACATCCTCAGCCTTTTTTTTTTTTATCTTTATTTCATTTTTATGTGGTGCTGAGGATCGAATCCAGGGCCTCACGCGTGCTAGGTGAGCACTCTACCACTGAGCCACAACCCCAGCCCCCTCAGCCCTTTTTTATATTTCATTTTGAGACAAGGCCTCACTAAGTTGCTGAAGCTTGCTCTGAACCCATGATCCTCCTGCCTCAGCCTCTTGAGCTGCTGGGATTACAGGAATGTGCCACTGCACCCTAATGGAATTGATCATTTTTTGGTAACAATTTCCAGTTGGCTTGGACTTGAGAAGAAGCTAGAAGTTGATGTCCAGTTTCTCATTCCACCCTCAGTCAAACTGAGGCTCACCACTCTGGCCAGCTGTGGGGTCAGTGATCCTCAAACTCTGCTGAATGTTAGGTGTCTGGGGGAATTTTTAAAACACCCAAACACCACCAACTACTGAAAGCTAGTGTGGGGGAGGGTAGACCCAGGAGACTACTAAGTAGAGGTGACTGGAAGGTCACCCACTATCCAGCTCACTACTTCCGGAAAGCTGAGCCCTGGGTTACTCAAGTATGGGGACTACAGCTTCCTGGGTCAGGAGCCGAAGACAAAATAGGAGGTGCTGTTGGGGTAGGAGGTGCTGTTGGAGTAGGAGGTGTCACAGTATGGGTCTTGCACAACCCAGCAGCATTCCCTTGCCATCTCTCATGGTAAGCAGGTCTCCACAGCCCAGGCAGATAACTCCTAGGACTGGGCTTCCCCACCACACAGACAAGCCTATAAGATCCCCAAGGGCAGGTCTGCTTTAGTGTCACCTACCCTCCACTCCCTAAGAGTGGCTGCCCTAGGCAACATCCAGGAAAGGAGTGGGGAGGGGTATAGGTGCCTCCCCTAGACTGGGCTCCACAGGGAGGCTCTGCCCTGAGCTGGGGTGGCAGGGAGAGCATGTGCCACCGTGTTATGCAGAGATGAGACCCTGGAGGAGGTTAAATCTATAACCACAATCTGACTATCAAAGCCCCCAGAAGGCTGTGACCCAGGGGTAGGGAGGAGAAGGGGGAGGCAAGGACACAATTCCTCCTCTGTTGAAGCCATTCCCATCTCCTCCTCCCCCAGTAGGAGAATAAAAAGGTCTCTTGTGGTCCCCAGCCCTGGCCACTGGAACACCACCCAAAGCCCTCAGGGCAGCTGACTAGGGAGGGGTGTGCACAGCTGTGATTGTTCAAAGGCACTGTCTGCCCTGCAGTCTCCTAGGAGCGGCCATCCCCTCCCAGGCTCAAAGGCTGAGGAGCAGGCTTAAGCCTCTGAATCTGAGCCCTAGAAAGAACCTGAGTTCTGAACTTGGAAAAAAAAAGTCAGTTCTGGGCCCAGACAAGTCGTTCTGGAACACCTGTCCTCAGGAGAGGCCTGAGGCCCTGAGGATCAGACATTCAGCTTCTGCTTGGGTCCAGCACCACACAGAAATGCTCAGGCACAAGGCATTGTGTCATCTCGGCCCCAGCAAGGAAGTCCCAAGAGAAGAGAGAGAACAACAAACTGTGGCATTGAAATCCAGAGGGGGTGCCCACATCTCACTGGCTGTCACTCAGAATAACCTGTCCCAGGCCACAGCCGCACTCTGGATCTAAGGCTGGGACCTTCCCAGGGCTGAGGCCGTGACCTGCGGGATCCTTAGGAGGGCACCAGCACTGGCAGAGTGGCAGCGGCGCCTCCCCAACCTCCCGTCACCCTGGCCCGCTGTCCCACCTCGGCCTTGCCCATCTTGGCGGCCAGCTGCAGTGGCGTGAGGCCGTCATTGTTGCGGGTGGTCTCCAGCTCCCAGGTGCCGCTCCTCAGCAAGATCATATCGTACATGCGCTTAACAAAGTCATTCTGGGTCTTGAAGTCCTCGGCTACCGTCACCAGCGCGTGTAGGATGTTATTTCCCCGAGAGTCCTGCGAGGTGATGTCCGTCTGCTCGTTCTCCATCAGCAGCTGCACGATCTCGGGCTGGTTGGTGCATGCCGCCAGGGCCAGGGGCGTCTCACCTGGGCCAGGGGAGCACTGGGATTCAGGTATCTCAGAGGTCAGAAGCAGTGTGCCCAGGCCCCAGGGGTCCACAGCCTGACGTCCCAGTGGCTTTGACACCTGAGGTTCCTTGATGGTCTCTTCCTCTCCCATTTGAACAGAGACTGAAGCTCCACTGATGCTGTGGCCTTCTAACCAAACTCCCTGCTTCCCCGCCGCCCTCTAACCACTGTGCTCAGCACAGCAGCAAGATCCACCCCAGTCCACCCACCACCTGCTGCCATTAACATGTGAATCCCACCTTCCCAGAATAAAAGCCCCAGTTCCAATGACAGCCCACAAAGCCCTTCTGATCTCTCCTCCTCTATCCCTCACTCCCCTCCAGCCACAATGGCCTTCTTCCTGTCCCTCTAACACACCGGGCATTTTCCTATCTCAGGACTTTTGCCTGGGCTGTTCCCTCTGCATGTAGATTTCTGCACTGCTCACTCTATCACCTGCTTCAAGTCTTTGTTCAAGTATCGCCCTCTCTGTGAGTCACCCTAACCTTACCTTATTTAAAATCAAATCCTCTCATCACAGTCAGAACTTCTGGTCCCTCTTCCCCTGCTTTACTTTGTATTTTTTTACGTAGCACTTTCCATTTTCTAACATAATGCATAACATTCTTATTTATAATGTTTATTATTGATGGCCTCTCTCCAGACCTACAATATAAGTCCCATGAAGGCAGGGATCTTTGTTTTGTTCACTGATATATTTCAAGCACCTAAAACAGTTCCTGACACAGATAGTATGTGCTCAATAAATGTTTGTTAAGAAAAGAGAAGGCCACTGACTCCCAAATGGTCAAACAGCAAGCATGGGACAGCACCACGACTGGAGGCCAAGGCTCCTGCCTCCTCTCAGTCTTCTTCCTCCTGTCCCCTCTCTTCACACCTAACAAAGGTTTCCCAACACCAACTGCAACCAGGCTCTGTGCTGGGCAATGGGGACACAAAACTGACTGGACAAGACCCTGTCCTCCAGGACTCACAGAACCATCTAGTCCTGCTCATTAAAAAGACACCCAGAAGAGGGGCTGGGGTTGTGGCTCAGCAGCATAGCACTTGCCTAGCATATGTGAGGCACTGGGTTTGATTCTCACTACTGCATATAAATAAACAAAATAAAGGTCCATCTTAAAAAAAAAATTTAAAGCTACACAGAAGAGAAAAGAGATGAGTGGTTCTCAGGCCAGGGCTGGCAATTTCCTGTAAAATTACTCAGAGAAATGTTTGGATCTGGCAGAGCTGCTGGTGGCCTGTCTTGATCATGGTGCTGGTTCACAGCTCTAAGCATGTGTGGAAATAACACAACTGTGCAATTAAGTGGGTGAGGTCACCAGATCTAAACTACACATTTCAACCTTTTTTTTTCCACCCAGAGCATCTGTGAAAGAAATATTGAATATTGTCAGAATCAAAATGGAGTCACTTGTGTCAAACCTAACCAAAAAAAAAAGTAAACAAAGCCGGGGGTGGGGGTGGGGGGGGAGCAGTTACAAAGGAAGGACTCTTACACATGATTCACATGATTCACAAAACACTCTACCACTCAATAGCTCAAGAGGCTGACATAGGAGGATCACGAGTTCAAAGCCAGCTTCAGCAATGGCGAGGTGCTTAGCAACTCAGTGAGATTGTCTCTAAATAAAATACAAAATAGGGCTGGGGATGTGGCTCAGTGGTTAAGTGTCCCTGAGA